ATTAATGGCTTTGTGCATCTGAAGCTAAAAATCCTTCTAACATCAAAATGTGAAAATCTCAGGCCGTTTTGCTTATCTTAACATCAATTCAGTGTTGACTGATGTAGAGATTTTGTTATATTAACCTATTTCAGATAACCTGCAATAAAACGTCTGGCCATATATGAACCTGCATAAACGTATGACAGTTTACTGCAATTATTTATCACCATTATTTCTAAAAATTGGGCCTATGCAATAGCTTTCCAATCCTCCAGAGGGAACCAGAGCTCATGTCTTCAACATGAGCCTGCGGCTGGAGAGGATCCCTGTGATGTGGAAAACATCCTGCATTGTTTCGGAACCAAAGGGGCAGCTTCCCTGTGTCTCCAAGGACTCCAGGCCTGTGGCGCTGATCTTCCAAATCATGAAGACCCTAGAGAGCCTCATCCTGGTGCCGCTCCAGACTCTGGTCCAACCACATTTGGACCCCTTGCAGTTCTCCTACCAGCACAAACTTGGAGTTGAGGATGCCATCATCTTCCTGCTGAATTGTGTATACGCTCACCTGGACCAGCTCTGAGAGAATTATGTTCTCAGATTCTCCAGTGCTTCCCTTGTGTCTTGGATTGTATATCGAACTAGCAGCCCACAGTTTCTGGTCTGCAAGTGTTGGTAGCAACACAGGGAAATGTCCTCTCTCCCTTCATCTTTACAATGTATATATCCAACTTCAGCTAAACAATTTGCCCTGTAGCATCCATCCATCCATCCATCCATCCATCCATCCATCCATCCATCCATCCATCCATCCATCCATCCATCCATCCATCCATCCATCCATCCATCCATCCATCCATCCATCCATCTTTTCCAGGGTTTATGTTTAGAAGCTGCCATAAATTCATTAAAAAGTAAGCAAGTGCCAAATGTTTGGTTTCTTTTCTCTCCATTTAACAGTAAAATCAAAGCTCAAAATAACTCAGTAGGATAATAACTGCTGTTAGCTGGTAGGTGATAAACAGCAGGGCTGGATTTCAACCGAAAATGGTTTTTTTTATAACATCGTGCAGTTTTAACTGTAAAAGCACATAATAAATTCTCCATCATACATTTCAGAAGCTCATATGTCAATTTTAACAACATCAAAGTCTGTTTAAGCCAGTTCATTGAGCCTTTCAGTGTCATCACTATCTCTGAAACCTTGATTCATTTCAAGACTGACGTTAACTAGATGGTTATGAAATTAGTTATATTATAACAGTTAATCAATACTGGATTATTAGTAAATTATATTAGGGATCACTCACGTGTTTTTCTTGCCTGTGACAACTGCGTCAGAGCAAGTAATGTTTTAAAAGAATAAGGACTGAATCCATAAACACATTCAAAAATTAATTATCTGAACAATCTGTGTGTCAGTATTGAAAGAAAATGACAGATAATGCATATAATAATTTTCAAAATATTTTAAATCATTATAAGACAATAACTGTCCTAACAAAAAGAGTAATAATCAAGTCATACCATAAGGGGACAGCTTCACACTCACACACATTCTGTCCATCATTCAAACTTCAGGACTAAATAATCACATTACAACATCAGGGGATGGCAACAAACACACACACACACCCACACACACACACACACACACACACATTCTGTCCAATATGGACAATGGGGAACATGATGATCAAGTTACACCCACCATCATTGGACAGCCACACACTCACACACATTCTGTCCATCATTGAAAATTCAGAACTAAATAATGTCATTACATCAGGGGACGGCAGACACACACACACACACACACACACACACACATGCACACACACACACACACACACACACACACACACACACACACACACACACACACACACACACACTGACCCACATTTTGTAAAACATTCCCGGACAGATTTCAACGATATCCAATCATCATGGAAGATGCTGGTTGTTTTCCTGTCACTTAATTAATTGATTAAATGCAGTATTTTAGGAGATACCGCCGCAGGGTCTCTCTCAAACCCAAAAGCATTTAGTGGTCCTCAAACAAAATGAAACACAACTGACTTGCCAATCATAGTGTGATTTTTTTTAGACAACAGGGGATCTTGTTACACACAGAATAAATATTTCAAAGGGATTTCCTTTGGGACTTTGCAAACCTTATTTTGAGGGGATTTTAACTTTCAAGCCTCTTAAACCCTTGTCTTAGACCACCATATATCACCATATTTTCTCCATGAGCGTCAAACTCATGCAAGCAAACATCCAGTAGACTCTCAACTTAGCGGCTTTCCATCACAGACAAAGATCCTCAATTTGGAAATAACAAATCGGCATAAATAAAATTTTTCTGCTGACCTGTTCTGAGTGGGTTGACCATGGGTTGTGTCTGAGGGGTTCCGCTCAAAGTTGCAGAATGCCAAACACCTTACATCTGGTTGCCCCTGCTAACTCTTGGAGATAACCTCAAGATCACCTTCCCATTTGTTTATCCATCCATCCATCCATCCAACTTTTCCAGGCTTTATGTTTAAAATCTGCCATAAATTCATTAAAAAACAAGCAAATGTCAAATGTTTGGTTTCTTTTCTCTCCATTTAACAGTAAAATCAAACATCACAATAACTCAGTAGGATAATAACTGCTGTTAGTTGGTAGGTTATAAACAGAAGGGCTACATTTAAAGTAAAAAATGTTTTTATAAGATCATCCAGTTTGAAGCAGAAACCACATTACCTCTCAACACAAAAATGAAAAATTGGTTAAGACATAAAATAAGGCAGAAAATGTGAGATGATTCACACCTTATTGTATCTGATTGCTCATTAATAAAGTAATTATAAAGAATTAAACCAATTCTAGGCTGCAGAATAATGAGGTTTTGGCAGCAGCTTCAGTAAAAAAACTGACTGAATTTGGCTTTTACTCCAAAGCCAAATTCTAATATTAGTTAAAGTTTCAAATAAATACAATAATTAAATTAATTTGTGTTGAAAGTTTATCAGGGATGTGGTCAGTTTTAGAGACAGAAACATTAATGTTCTCATTAAAATAATATTTTAAATATCTGTCTTCTGTGGTTAGTAAAGCAGACAGCATTCCACCTTGTCCTTTTTGTTCTTCTACAGTCTTTGCTGGTTTAATGTTCTGGCTGTTTATCTTGTCCTGTGTTAGAGAATGGTGTTGTTCTAATCTTCATATCCAGCTTTTGGTATCGATCCACTGATAAACGCCTTTATTTCAGTTTTTCATTTATGCTAACAAGACACTGAAGTCATTTTTCAGAATGTTTGAAACAGCTCCCACATGGATGATTAGTAGGAATGTTGACTGTTGGTTTCAAAGGAGATGCTCTAGTGTTACTAATCTTGGCCAAAGTGAAATCCAGGAAACTAAAACTTTGAAAAATATATCAATGGTGACGTCTGAATTCAGAAATATTACAATTTCAAAAACTTTACATTGTGAGATAATTAGTCCTTTACAAGGAGAGCAGATTTCTATCATTTTTAGAAATTTCCCTTTTGGGATTTCAAACATAAAACATATTATTTTTTTTCATGTATGCTCATATCAACGTCTCATATGTTAAGAAGAACAGAATGATACATTCAGGGATCGCAGCATTGACTTTCAGTGGCTGAACTCTGATGAATTACTTGTATCTAAAATCTACAAGAGAAATGTTCTACAGAGGAGATTCAGTTCCAGGCTGAGTGGAAATGGATTCAAACTTCAAAATTATGACCTTATCAAACAGAACTGCAATACCAAAACACAAATATGCAAAACGTTGAATGACTAGATTGAGGAGCAAATAGAAGATGGATCTAGGTTGAATGCTAAAGCTGAATAAGACAGAATTTGGATCTATTTGTGACACCTGAATTAAGCAAAATCAAACATATGAGGCTGGAATGGGAAAGGGAGCTCAGAGAGGCTTTGGATTCACAGCTTTAAAATTAAAAAATGTAAAACACTATCAGATTTGACATTTTTATGATGTATTTGTACTGCTAACCAACCTTTTGGTTACCAGAAAAAGGTAACAATAATATATGGAATCAACAGGGATTTTTAAAATGTTTTTCTTGAAGTTGATAAAAATCACACGTGGTGTCTCTCAGGGCTCTGTTATGGGGTATCTACATAATATTGTTAAGGGGCTGCACAGTGGTGCAGTTGGCAGCATTGTTGCCTTGCAGCAAGAAGGTCCTGGGTTCGATTCCCGGCCCAGGGTCTTTCTGCACGGAGTTTGCATGTTCTCCCTGTGCATGCTTGGGTTTTTTCTGGGTACTCCAGCTTCCTCCCACGGTCTGACAACATGACTGTTAGGTTAATTGGTCTTTCCAAATTCTCCCTGTGTGCATGGCTGCTTGTCCTGTTTGTTTCTGGCGCCCTGTCCAGGGTGTACCCAGCCTCTCACCTGGAACGCAGCTTGATATAGGCACCACCAACTCATGACCCCACGAGGGGTGATCAAGAAATAAGATTAGCTAGTGTAGCTATGCATTATAATGACCATCAATGATTCTGAACCATCCAACAACTCATTGCATGGAGGTGCAATAAAACCTGTTTCTCAGTATTTGAAACATTACAGTTACAGTTGATACTGCCCCATCAAGAATTGAAGAGGCTTTTGTTTTAATTTTCTGATTTTCTTGATATTATTTTGGTTTACATTTACAGTATTTTCTGCAATGACACTATCTCAGTTTTTAGATACATTATAAAATGTCAGAAAATCAATCAAATTTGCATCAAAAAATTTCATATTCCGAACCTGATTATTTAAAAACGAGCAAAATTTTCCCCAACATCCAACACTGCCTTTAACTCCAGGACTGCTGTTTTTTCGAAAACAAATTTACAGGAATCCTCCAGAGGGCGCCACATCTTGACTCAAGTCTGGAATTCTAACAGGAACCTTGACTTACAGGAAAGACAGGAAATAGTCCAGAGAGAAAAATACTCATCAAGAAAACATTCAGGATTATTTATGTCACTTGCCTTCCACCAAACTACTGGCTCAGGTGAGACTGACGGCGACTAGATAGAAAACTGAGGAACCAGACACTGAAACACAGACTGCTGCTGGAGGAAAAACAAGAAAATCAAAGTACAAGTAAGTTCAGAAAGTTTGTACAGGAGAGAAACTGACTTCCTGGTTTGACGTTCTGTCTGCTGTGTTTTCAGCTTCACTCAGAGACAAAATGGCTTCCAGATCAGACGATGATCTCTGCTGTCCGGTCTGTCAGGAGATATTTAAGGATCCGGTTCTTCTGTCATGTAGCCATAGTTTCTGTAAAGAGTGTCTGAAGAACTGGTGGAGAGAGAAACCAGCAAAAGAGTGTCCAGTTTGTAAGAGGAGGTCTTCTAAAGAGGAACCACCTTTAAATCTGGCTCTGAAGAATCTGTGTGAGACTTTCTTACAGCGGAGAGAGAAGAGAGCTTCAGAGGATCTCTGCAGTCTGCACTCTGAGAAACTCAAACTCTTCTGTCTGGATCATCAGCAGCCAGTGTGTCACATCTGCAGAGATTCAGAAAAACACACCATTCACAGATTCAGACCCATTGATGAAGCTGCTCAGCAACACAAGAAGAAGCTTCAGGAAACTCTGGAGCCTTTAAAGAAGAAGCTGGAGCTCAGGAAGAAAGTTCAGAAGGAGTTTGGTCAGACAGCAGAACACCTGAAGGTCCAGGCCCGACACACAGAGAGGCAGATTAGGGAGCAGTTTAAGCAGCTTCATCAGTTTCTAGCAGAGGAAGAGGAGGCCAGGCTGGCTGCACTGAGGGAGGAAGAGGAGCAGAAGAGAGGGATGATGAAGGAGAAGATGGAGGCTCTGAGCAGAGAGATAGCAGCTCTTTCAGACACAGTCAGAGCCACAGAGGAGGAGCTGAGAGCTGAAGACGTCTCATTCCTGCACAACTACAAGGCTGCAGTGGAAAGAGTCCAGCGCTGCCCCCTGCTGGAGGATCCACAGCTGCCCTCAGGAGCTCTGATAGACCAGGCCAAACATCTGGGCAACCTGGCCTTCAACATCTGGAGCAACATGCAGACCATGGTGACCTACACTCCTCTGGTTCTGGACCCAAACACGGCTGGTCCAGAACTCCATCTGTCTGAAGATCTGACCAGTTTGACTGTAGGAGAGAAACAGCAGCTTCCTGATAATCCAGAGAGATTTGGATTTTACTCCTATTCTGTTCTGAGTTCTGATGGTTTTAACTCAGGGAACCATAGCTGGGATGTTGATGTTGGACACAGTTCATCCTGGAGAATCGGTGTGTTAAAAGAGTCTGTTCAGAGGAACGGAGGCAACAAGTCTGGATTGCTGTATATTCGTTTTGTTTTAGGTAACTATTCAGCACATTCTCCACCAGCTCCTCCCACTCGTCTCTCAGTCCAGAAGAATCTCCAGAGGATCAGAGTGAATCTGGACTGGGACAGAGGAAAGCTGTCCTTCTCTGATCTGGATACTAACACACACATACACACCTTCACACACACCTTCACTCACAAGATGTTTCCATTCTTCAACACTTTTAATACATTAAGATCCTACCAATGAATATCTCAGTAATCAAGCAGCAGCTCTGATTTCAGCATGAAGAACAAAAAGTCCAAATGAATCATTATTGATCAGGTCATTGATTGGTTTTATGATGGATTGATAGTTTGCTGGTTTGGTGAATTTCTTTTTAATCAGGAAACTGGAGATGTTCTGATCATCTGGGGACTTTTTCATATCTTTCTTTGTTTTCCACTGTAATGTTTTGAACATTGTGTTTATTATTTACAACAAAACAACTTTACTATCACAACATGTGTCCAACCATCTACACTGCACTGCTTGACTGATTAACAAAATAAAGAAAGACAAAAGTCCTCGGTGAGCAGAATTAGAAACAACATAAGTTTATTATTTGAGCTTCATCCTGTGGTCAAAAATCCAGAAAATAATCTATTTAATTTCTTTTGCTACATTATTATTTGTTCAAATGAGCTGCTTCCAACCCAAACCTGAAGTTATTTTATGTTATCTTCATTTTGGAAGAATTTCATGCAAACAAATGTGACAGCTGCTACATGAGAACAAGTTATTATATTTCATAAATGTCTCTTGTTAATCTGAAACAGCAAAAATAAAACCAGTAAAAACAAATAAAGTTATCAGGTTCACTGTGATTAATAGCTTTGTACATCTGCAGCTAAAAATCCTTCTGACATCAAAATGTGAAAAGCTCAGGCCGTTCTGCTTGATTTAACAACAATGCAGTGTTGGCTGATCTGGTGATTATTTGTTACATTAACCTGTTATACATAATCGACAATAAAAGTCTGGCCATAGGAACCTGTGTAAGTTTATTAATGTTTACTGCTTTATTTACAACTAATATTAGTACAAATTTAAGGTTTTCTATGGGACGACATGCAGTACATCTTCCAGTCCTGTAGAGGGCAGCAGTGCACATGTCTTCAAAATGACCCTGCGCCTACAGAGGATCCCTGTGACGTGGAAAACATCCTGTTACCATCCAGGGTCAGTGTGGACATTGTAGAGAACTATAAATATCTGGGAGTCCACAGTGACAACAAACTGACTGGGTCAAGAACACTGACGTTATGAACAGGAAGGGCTAAAGTCTCCGCTATTTTCTGAGGTGGCTGAGGTCCTGTAACATCTGCCAGATTTAGAGTCTCTGGAAAACTGAAAAGTCATCAGAAAGTCCACACAGGAGAGAAGCCTATCAGCTGTAGCCTGTGTGGAAAGAGTTGTTGTCTTTTGGTATCTTTAAAGTGTCATCAAGACTTTCTCCTCCACCAGGAATCTCAGACGTGGCTGGTCACTGTTTATACATGAACAAAGTGGCTTTTTATACATCAAAGCAGATCCATCAAAGCTGAGCTAAGGTAACATTAATTACTAATTTAATACGTACAGTTCCATAACTGGACAGTTAGTTAATGATATTAGATGTTTTACCTGTTTTCTTGCTTCTGACATCTGCAGCATGGAAGATAAAAGAGTGAAAGCAATCCATGTTTTAAAAGAAAAAGGACTGAATCCATAAACAAATTTAAAATTAATTATCTAAACAATCTGGGTGTCTCTATTGAAAGAAAACAACATGAATAACGCATATAATAATTTTTCTGAAAATGTTTAAATCATAGGACATGTTATGGCTGCAGTGGGTCTCTGCCCTTTCTCCTTTTGGGGTCTGGAGACAGACCTTCTGCAGGTGTTAAGTTTTGCCCTGATTAGTGCTCTACTGCTTTAAAAGCTGCCATGCATGCAGCAGATAGGAGGCTTTTCCCTCTTCTTCCTCAGATCCCCATTTGGTTTGGTTTGTATCATATGTTTGGGTTTTATTAGGTTTGTTTTGCATTTCCTTATTTCTGGTTAGTTATGGGTTTTGCATTAATCAATTTTGGTTTCTCATTTCAGGTATTCCTTTTCAGGTTTTATTTCTTTAGTATTACTTAATAAATTAAATTTTCATTTCATCAGATCATCCTTGTGTTACCCCACCAAAACAGCCTGGTGGACGTAACAGAGAATAAGAGTAGATAATAAAGTCATACCTGCAGGGGACAGTCACACACACACACACACACACACACACACACACACACGCACACACACACACACACACACACACACACACACACACACACACACACATTCTATCCAATATGACAGTGTAGAAACTAATCAAATTACACTGTCAAGGGACACCCACACACTAACTCACTCACCCCACCATTTAAGGTTCTGGAGTGGCCTAGTCTCCAGATCTTAACCACATCAAAAACCTTTGCAGGGAGTTTAAAGCCCCAAAACATCTTTGCTCTAGAGGAGATTTCCATGGAGGGATGGGCTACAATACCAGCTGCAGTTTGTGCCAAACTTGTGAGGACTTAAAGAAAATATTTGACCTCTGACCTCTGTCATTGCCAACAATGGATATATAACTAAGTATTGATAATAATTATATATAATACTTTACTATTAACCAAATTCTTATTTGACACCATTTGCAAGTAAATACTTGAAAGAAATCAGACAATGTGATTTTCTTGATATATTTTCTCATATTGTCTCTTATAGTTGAGATCTACCTACGACATCAATTTCTGGCCTCTCATCTTTATAAGTGGGAGAACTTGGACAATTTGTGTCTGACTTAAACTTTTTTCCCACTGTATGATAATTTCAATGTCTCACACAGGGAGCCAAAAACATTCAGACGAACAAATCAATGCTTCAGATTCAGTGGAAATCTCGATTAAACTTCAGAATTATGACGTTGTTACACGTTTGTGATGTCAAACTGGAACTGGAACCCCCACCCCAAAAAATGTGCTCACTGTGTTCCACACAGACCTTAATAAGGGACAGACAATGCAATTAAATAAAGTGAAAGAGAAAGCTAAACAAAAAAGACAGGAGTTTGAGGACTCTTTTGATCAGAGATCCTGGCCGACTTGTACAGATCTGGATGAATCTGTAGTTGGAGAGACGCAGCCGGTTTTTACCTGCTGTTGGACCAAATGTGTACATGTCCTGACACACACAAAATAAATGGAGGATAAAATGAAGAAAACTGCTTGGTCCTTAGAGTAAAACCATGTTGATGAAAGTCTGCATCGATTTATCCATTTCTTTTCAAGTGGGGAAGCTGCACAAATTAGAAAAGAACTTAACAATGTTGCATTACCATAACACTAATATGCAGAAAGGTGAATGATTAGAGGTGAATAAACTTAGCTGATCTCTTTATCACTTAATTCTCGTCTTCATGTGTCAGACAACCTGAGACTTCTTGTCACTGCATTTAGCAACATTATCAATTGGCTGTGATGTTAAAACGATTAGAAATGTATAAAAACCTAAAATCATCAAGTTCAACATGTTTATTATGTGCTTGTACTAGTAACCAATCATTTTACAGTGAAAGGGGTTTCTCTTTGTCAATAACAAAATTTTTATCAGAGCTGACCAAAATCGTATGTGAGGTTCCACAAGACTCCATGTTGGGCCTCCTCTAATTTAACACCTGCATAATGCTGTTAGCTCAGGTTATAACAAGAAATAAAATCAGCTAGCATTGCTGCGCAGATAATACTCAGCTCTATATTATGATGACCTTCAGTGACTCTGAACCATCCGAACTTTGAACAAGTACAAAAAATCAATCCAAGGAGGTGCAATAAAACCTGTTTCTAAGTGTTTGGAACAACATAAAACACTGAAGCAACTTCTTCAAGCATCAATGGTGTAGTATCAACAGTGGGTATTTATGTATTGCTTTTATTAAAATTTTCTGGATTACTTTTTAATATTATCTTGGTTTACATTTGGAGTATTTTTTGCTATGACAATATTTGAGATTTTAGCCATTTAAAAAATATCAGGAACTCAATCAAATTTAAATCAAAACATTTCTAATTCTGAACCAGATTTGCTGAAAGGAAAAGTTTCCCTTCAAATCAAACATCATCTTCATCTCCAGGGCTGCAGTGTTTGGTCAAAAACCACAGATTTACAGGAAGTCCACCAGAGGGCGCCCCATCTGTGGCTAAAAGCTGGATTTAAAACGGGAACCTTTGAAATACAGGAAAACAGGAAATGGTTCAGAGAGAATATTACATAAAGAAAACAGTGAGGGTCATTTTTGTCACCTGCTTTCCACCAAACTACCGACTCAGGCCAGACTGAAGCTGAAAAGAGAGAAACCTGAGGAACCAGACTCTGGAACACAGACTGCTGCTCCTGGAGGACAAACAAGGAAATCAAAGTGAAAGTAAGAGAATAAAGTTTTTACAGGAGAGAAACTGACTTCCTGGTTTGACGTTCTGTCTGCTGTGTTTTCAGCTTCACTCAGAGACAAAATGGCTTCCAGATCAGACGATGATCTCTGCTGTCCGGTCTGTCTGGAGATATTTAAGGATCCGGTTCTTCTGTCATGCAGCCACAGCTTCTGTAAGGAGTGTCTGCAGAAATACTGGAGAGTGAAACCAACAAGAGAGTGTGCAGTTTGTAAGACGATATCATTCATCAAAGATCCTCCCTGTAATCTGGCTCTGAAGAATCTGTGTGAGACTTTCTTACAGCAGAGTGAGCAGAGAGCTTCAGAGGATCTCTGCAGTCTGCACTCTGAGAAACTCAAACTCTTCTGTCTGGACCATCAGCAGCCTGTGTGTGTCGTCTGCAGAGATTCAGATTTACACATTAGCCACAGATTCAGACCCATCAATGAAGCTGCTCAGCAACACAAGAAGAAGCTTCAGGAAACTCTGGAGCCTTTAAAGGAGAAGCTGGAGCTCAGGAAGAACGTTCAGGAGGAGTTTGATCAGACAGCAGAACACCTGAAGGTCCAGGCCCGACACACAGAGAGGCAGATTAGGGAGCAGTTTAAGCAGCTTCATCAGTTTCTAGCAGAGGAAGAGGAGGCCAGGCTGGCTGCACTGAGGAGGAAGAGGAGCAGAAGAGAGGGATGATGAAGGAGAAGATGGAGGCTCTGAGCAGAGAGATAGCAGCTCTTTCAGAAACAGTCAGAGCCACAGAGGAGGAGCTGAGAGCTGAAGACGTCTCATTCCTGCACAACTACAAGGCTGCAGTGGAAAGAGTCCAGCGCTGCCCCCTGCTGGAGGATCCACAGCTGCCCTCAGGAGCTCTGATAGACCAGGCCAAACATCTGGGCAACCTGGCCTTCAACATCTGGAGCAACATGGAGACCATGGTGACCTACACTCCTCTGGTTCTGGACCCAAACACGGCTAGTAAAGAACTCCATCTGTCTGAAGATCTGACCAGTTTGACTGCAGGAGAGGAACAACAGCTTCCTGATAATCCAGAGAGATTTGATTTTTACTGTTCTGTTCTGACTTCTGAGGGTTTTAACTCAGGGAACCACAGCTGGGATGTTGATGTTGGAGACAGTTCATCCTGGAGACTTGGTGTGTTAGAAGAGTCTGTTGAGAGGAAGGAAGGCATACTGTCTGGATTGTTGTATATACGTTTATATTCAGGTAAATACTCAGCATATTTTCCATCAGCTCCTTTCACTCGTCTCTCCGTCCAGAATCTCCACAGGATCAGAGTGAATCTGGACTGGGAAAGAGGAAAGCTGTCCTTCTCTGATTTGGATACTAACACACACATACACACCTTCACACACACCTTCACTCACAAGACTTTTCCATATTTCTACACTAATAAAACCTTAAAGATTGAACCGAAGAAGATGGAGTCCAAATCAAGCATTACTGATCAGATGATTGATTGTTTTTTTGATTGACAGTTTGTTGGTTTGGTGAATTTCTT